GTTTCTAATTTACATAAGTAACAATGCCCCAACCCCTCCATCTGTCCCATCCATATTTCTCGGTGTATGTCTAGTTTACTGCAACCAACTGCCACACAGGACTGTGTAGAAGACTTCATAACATTTTGCTGATCCATTCCTTCCATTGATGGACATCTGGTTGTCACTGTCTCAGCTACCATAGTAACAGTGCCCTGAACAGTCTTGTGTAGTCCCTCATTTGTCAGGGAAGGAATTTCTTCTGGGTCTAGCTTGAGAATTAGACTTGTGGGTCACGGAGACGTTGTGTTCTTATTTTCACTACCTGGTCACATGTTGCTTTCTAGAATATCTATGTCCTCACCTGCAGAACAGGAGAATTCTCATATTCTGCTTAACACTTAGCTTGTGCTAGTATTATGTGTGTCTTTCAACGTGGCTTATGGACAACAAGGGATCTCTCCTTTTTAATGACAAGGCATTTGACTTGACAACTTAAACTTTTTATGTTATACTTTTCTATATTGTGAAGTTGACGTGATGAGCAAATACAGGAAAATCTTTTTTACAGCTTCAAAAGGTATTGGAGATAACACATTGCTCTGGTTAGTGAAGAGGGAGTTGTCATATTCAGGTCCTCATTTTCAAAAGAGCAGGAAACAAACTAGCTGTAATCAGCCTTCTGCAGTAATCATGAATAGAGAGGTGGATCTTCCTTGAGGAAAGAGCAAACCATCGGATGACAGAGCCTGCAGCGTGCCAGAGTGCTGATTCCACAAAGGAGGGTATTGGTCTTTTGTAGTAATCACCAAGAATGTGGAATAGTCAGTATGAGAATTCAGAAATCCTTTAGGATTAACTGTGACCTACAGATCATCACTAGGAAAACCAGTTCTCATTGTGTTTTCCCTGTGGGTATTCCAGTCAAGAAATTACTTTATTCTATGACAAGGGACAGTTTTGGATGATGTAGCAGCATAGTTATTTCCACATTTACCTCTCACCCACCCATACCCCTGCCCACATGTAGCCTCTCTTGAAATAGCTCGCCACCCACAAGCCTGAAGGAACAGTTCTGGGCCTGTGTTAAGTACCACATGATCTTGCCTCTGCCACAGCTCCTAGGATGAAAAGAACTCACTGATGTAACATGGAACTCATTCCTACTCTGAAAAGAACCAAAAGAGCCTTAAGACTCTGAACTAACTGAGACAGGTCACTTAGACATGGTAAGCATGAGCTCTATTGGGTCAAGGAGAGCCTAAGCCAGGGCAGCGCCTGGGCAAGAGCAAACACCATGAGAAAATGAAGTCAGAAGGAGCAGGGCATCCTTCTACGCAGGGAAGAGACAGGAATACATGAGCAGAGAAAAAGTGATCACATCCACCCGTCTTGTAGCTGCATGTACATAGGTCAGTCAACCAGGAGCTTTACAGGAAGGAACCTTTATCTAAGTCCTTCATCGAACACTAACACTAACACTATATAGAAAGTGAAGCTGATCAGACATTCAACCTGAAGACAAGTTCCCTCCACACCAAACAAGGGGACCAGCTGCCTTTCAGGCCTCTGTTTTCTCTAGTTCCTTCAACCAAGAGAATCTTTCAACCAAGCACCATCCCCCATTTTAAAGGGGAAAAATAGAACCCCTGAGACTCCATGACTACTTAGCTGTTGGCAATTACCTTTGCTACATTACTCTCAAGGTGGCTGGGGAATGGGAGGCCATAGAAGGTGGCTTTGGCATTATCAGAAAGTCAACTCCAGCATCTAGAGAACCAACCAGGGTGTGGATGACACACATATATCCCAAGTCTTCTTTCATGTCCAAGCTAGAAGGGACTTCAATATAACTCAGCTCATTGTTGAATAGTATTTGTTAAACAACTACAGAGTGTTCTTTGAGTTCCCTGAAGATGTTCTTAAAAAATAAATTTTTGAATGGAATCAAATTAACTAGTGGAAGTCATCAAGTCATGGAGAAAGTTGTGGGTGGAAACCAAAAAATAAAAAAATAAAAAAGAGCTGTGGCTGTGAGGAATTCTTTTCTTAGAACTTCTGGGACAGAATCTCAGAGAATACTGTCCTTGCCAATGTTTTGACAACAACTGAATCAGTGACTCTCTCTATCCCATTGGGACTTAGAGCTACCAAGTCGCTGGATTTATACATGAATAAGCAAAAGAGACTGGGCATCTCTATTTTCCATTCTTCCTAAGCTCTTTTACAAGAAGCAGCAGGAATGGGCTGTAATTGTCTATGTTTCAATCCTGGCTCTAACTTCCAAGCTATGAGCATTTGAGTAATTTACTTCACCTCTTTACTTCAGTTTACTTAAGTATAAAATAGAGATAATAAGTAGAAAGGACTTATGTACCAACTTTTTCACAGTGAATATATTCTTTATGTATTATAAACATGTAGATAAAACAAGAAAAATAGCAAAATAGAGATAATAGTAATGCTTTGGTTGCAGCATTGCCTTTACAATAGTGCCTGGAAACAAGCTTAATAAATTCCATCTGTCATTTTAATTATTTTGGCTTCAAGATTCTCCCTCAAGAAGCCAGTATCTCCCTCACTCTCAGTCCAGCTGACAGGTGGCCCTGACACCCTGCTCGGCTTTTCAGACATAGCCAAAGTAGATTCTGTGAGATTCAAAGTTAAGAGTTTTGATTTGAACGACTGGAAAAGATGTACTTATATTTTCTCCAAAGTTTGCTAAGCTAGTGAGTATAAACCTGGAGCTGCTAGGGAATCAGGGTGAGAAAATACGCCTGAGGACAGTGTCAATATAGAAAAAAAACTAAGTTGAATGATGGGAAAAGATCCAATCATTATGGTGTTATTCAAGCTCCCTAATATTGCTATACCTGAAACTAGATACTTTTGGAATTTCCAATTGTGTAAGCCAATGAATTCTCTTCTTTGCTTACCTAATCTAAAATGGAATTCTGCTCTTTATAATTAAAAGGATCTTAAGTAATACAGCAAATTATGGCCAAAATATTTGAGGACTAAGTAATTCATTTCTTAACATACCTAGAACTTTTACTGAGTATCTACAGTTCTGTGCTAGACACTGTACTAGATACTGTGGTACAGCAATGTGAACAAATTAAAATCTGTATTGCAGTGGAGGAAAGCAGACTAAGTTAACATATTAGGCTGAACTATAAGAATTTATCATTTTTGTAGGTCAAATATAGGCAATTTAACCTGACTCATCCTGAGTTCTAGTTCAGACTACAGTTAACACTTTAACTGAAAAGCTTAAATGTTCTGAAAAAAGATTCACATTGCCAGCTTCTAAGCAAATCTCCACAAGGGGCTTCTGGTTTTACATCTTCATGTCACAGGACACCACTCCTGCCGATCATTTCTTGTACAATGAATTAACCCTGGTTAATGCCACAAATTCTTTCCCAGCATGACAAAGAGATACAGGTAGCTGTATTGGCATCATTGTCCTATCAAGTCCTTCACTCCTGTAAGACCACACTTTGCCACTAATATCACCACGTTTTCTCTCTCCTGTTATCTCTCCACCTCCTTAGTCCAACCTATTTTGGTTAATTGATCTCAAGCTGTCCCTTTGTGACTGACATCACCTGGCACTCTCTTGCTTGCTCATGGTCTGAGTTTCTGGTTTCCCCGTGTATGCTCCTGCCATGCCTTCCTAACTTAGAACATGTGGCAGGTTCCCATCTGTAAGTATGGAGGAAGTTGCATCTTGCTGCTGGTGGGAATTCAGCTTGGCTCAATCTGGTAGGATGACAGTCCCTGAGAGAGTATGGGGAGGAGCCAAAGAGGGCAGTCAGAGGAAGGGAACCCCTAGATGAAGAGGAGGCAGGAAGGAGGTTACTGGGAGGACCCCAGAGGGGAAAACTACGGTGGAAGGGAAGAGGAGAGCAGGACAGAATCGGGTCCAAGGAGAAGCCAAGCTGTACCATAGTCCCAGAAGAAATGTAAGAAGCCTGTAGAGAGTTCTGAGGATGTATCCATCCTTAAGACTTCCCTTGAATCAAGCAAGAAAGTGCATTCAACACCAATCACTGGATGCAGGCCATCTTGAAAGAGGCCTGACAAGGTGAATCCTTTATAACCTCAAGGGAGACCTGAGAAACTTCACGCTGTATCTGCCAAAGTGGAGAGGCAGGAGAAGGGAGTTCTGAAGCTACCAGGTCACAAAGAAAGGCCACAAGCAATTAACAGAAGCCAGAGTGCAGTCCCCAGGCACGGTATCTGCTTCACTTCTTTGCTGTTGTTAGAATATTCATGTCATTTAGGGTTTGTTTTATTGTATTAATTTTATTTGTAGTCTTCTTCCATTTACTTCCCTTTTTTCCACTAATTAGGGTGCTACCTTCTTAAAAGTCAATCAAATGACTACTGAAACATGAGCAACAAAATGAAAAGTTAGCAATAAAAAGGCAAAGAACATGACTATAGTTCATATTCTCTACTGGACTGCTTATGTTTAAAGAAGAAATGTGATAATTTCATTGCCAATCTTCCAGATGATTTCAAATCTTAATCTCAAATTTTAGCCTAGCAAACTGTACTAAACATCATAGGGATAGAGACATAAATGAGAAATAGTCTTTAGTGTCAAGAAACTTGACTTCTTATTGGATATCATACAAAAAAAATTAATTCTGGTCCAAGACAAGATGTGTCATTACAGTTGGAATCACCCAAGATACCCCAAGAGTTGGGACACTTCAGCCTTCCTTAGACCCAGGATGGAGCAGAAGGTTTTGGGGAGGAGATGCAAGTATCTGTGGTCCAAGGGATGAACAGGACTCAGATAAACTTAGTGAACAAATTCAAAGCTGAGAAAAATACACTGGACAATGAGTCATGTGGATTAGCTGGCTGGTAGAGTAAGTCTGAGGAATGGTGGAAATAATACCAAAATGTAGGTTTATGGTCAGCTTCTGGAAAGCTTTTAGCAAATTTCAGCTACCCAGACACTGGAGTATTAAAGGAAAAACACTGTCATATTCTTGAATACTTACTTTTATTTCATTTTCTCCCAAAGTAGTTCTATTCCAGGCAGTTATTCATTGGTGGACCTCCATATTTTTCATGTAATTCTGCCATTTCTAAAAGATAGAGATTATCCATAAACATAAAAATCATCCTGGCAATTATAATGGTTTGTAACACCAAGGTGATAGTGAAATGCCCAAAGCCCATTAAAAGGATTAAGTATTACCCTAAATGTGTGTGTGTGAGATCACATTGTGAATATCCACCTAAGAAAGGAAAATTTTCAGAGCAGTTTGTTGGATATCAGTGACTAAATTTCTACTGCTCTACAAAAGTGTTCACATAATAGGTGAGAGATGATAAAATAACCATGAAAAGGAAGTGTATTTCACATCCAAAGCTGGTGAGAAGGAAGCTAAACCATGTGTTACTTCTCCTAGACAGTTCTAGCTTAGAATGATGTAAGAAGAAAACAGGGTTAATTGTAAACTTTGATAGGAATAATTTCAGTTTTCATATTAAAAAACAAGAAAAAAACATATTTACTCATGTATTTTCATAGCTATTAGTTTTATTCCTCAGAAGCAAATCTAACCATGGCCAAACCTCATGCCTGAGAATCAGAATGTGCCAATTTTATTCTTAACCATAACTTCAGTTTTCAGCTAGATGCACCTCTAATTTATCTGTCACCATTTTTGTGACGGTCTTGCAACTCACACTGAGCAGGAAGATCGGCCTGTTAAATTAAAGGAGGACAGTTCCAAGTTTCTTTTGAAGAGACCCATGATTAATGTGTTCTCACATCTCCCTCAGCAGGTTACACATTGGAAAGGTCTTTCCAGAAGATTTTCCAAAGGAGGGGGAGCAAAATCACAGTGCTGGGCAGATTCATGAATGTCTTCTAGCTGCAGGAAAGCCATCCAGACTGGAAGTTTGCCAAAGGGCATACTTTGGCCTCCTGCCAGTATTTTGTAGCAGGGAAACATTATGTTGAGGGACTTCCTTTGCTCTAGTGAAAGCTTGCTAAAGGTCAGAAAATTATCCATTTTACCCACACACAGAGTCTGACACTCACAGATTTATTGTGGCTCAGGAATTCATGACATGTCCTTAGAGCTTACCCTGGATGACAAAGAGAGTAGAAATATGATAATGAAATCATTATGCATAAACATTAGTCTTTTCTGCACATTTTCCTTACACTGCCCTCCCCTCTTAAAAAAAAATAGTATAAGTAATGATTTGATTTGCTTCATACTATAATTCTTTAAATAGCTTCTAAAAATGTTTTCCCAACAGAAACATAATACCATCTGGCTCATAATAACTAAACCTGATGTACCAAAGTATAAATATAATATTTCTTCTTTAAATTTTCTAATTAGATCATCATATTTATAGTTTTGTTTTCAAGCTGACCTTTTTAAAACAAAAACAGTGTTGATGTTGAAGAAGGAAAATATCTCAATGACAGATCAACTCCACTCTATTTTCTTCTATATGTTGAATAATGAAATTAAAGAAAATTAACATCTTTTTGTTGTTCTTTATGAAATAATAGGAGAAAATCACACATATACATAAACTACTGAACTTTAAGAAACGAATGCATACAGTTTTATTCTTTTCACAATTAAAATTTACTTCAAGTCTTTTTCATTCAATACCAGGCCTAAGACCACCAACCTAGAAACAATTTTTCTTCTTTAAAAGCCCCCATTAATATCTATGAAAACATAGTAAATGCATAATTTTCACATCAGGATATGGAACCACAAGAAGTGAATTATTTATATGAACTACATAAAAGTAATCTAGCATTACCAATGCTTGCCAAACAAAAGTATCCTTTGTAATTTTCATTCATTCAACAAAGATTCATTGAACTCCCGACAGTACCTTGCTGTAAGACAGTCGTTTTAATTCATAAGAGATATATAACACGCCATTCCTGTCCTGGAGAAATTAGACTCCAGTTGGGAAGTACACAAGTACATGCGCACACAAACTTATACAGAAACAACCCCCCCAGACCTATGTGGCCAGGGCCACCTGGCAGTCACAGCAGACAAAGGGCTCAGAGGAAATCGTGAGCACTATTATTTTTAACAGTCTAAGAAGTTGTCATGGAGATGATTATTCCAAAGGATAAACCAATGGCCAAGGATTCCAATCCTCACAGATGTATACATCTAATTGAAAAGAAAATGTTGTTGATGCTTCGTTACCCTGGATAAATGTTTTTATACCTTAACGCCCCTTTTCCTTCTCTTCCTGCTTACCCACCCCACACCCTTCAGCTGCTTGTGCTTAGAGTGCCTCTTGCTGTGATTCCTACACGTTCCGCCAGAGAGCCTAAGCAAACGTGAACCTTAATCTCCGGGCACCAGAGCAAATGATGCTCCATTCATGACACACTCTTAGGTACGAATGGGGAAGGGATACATACAATACAAACGCACGGACTTTCCAAAGACCTACTAAGAGTTATAAGTCATCTTTTGGATTACTGTATCCTCCACGGAGTTAAACCAGCCCACTGCAGTTACTTATCTTCACGAAGAGATGACTTAAACTAGGTTGTAACTAAGTATTCATGATTTGTAGATGATCAATTTTCTAACCACTTTGGAACCTGAAAATGTAATCCGTTTCTTGCTTTTTTTTTTGGTATCGGAGATTGAACTTGGGTCCTTTTGCTTGCAAGGCAAGCGGCAGAACTGAGCTAAATCCCTGGCCCTGTTTTGAGTACCAGGGATCAAATATAATTTTATTTTAAAAATTAGAATCAGCACTAAAAGAAGCTATTGCATCATTAGAGAATTTAATGAACACAAAGGTGAAAGAATCAAAATGAGAAACCGCAGGATGTTCATAAGCTGAAATTGTTTCCACTTTTCACATCGTTGGGTTCAGCCTCTAGCAACGAGGGGCTGTGACTTCAAGACAAAATGCTGGTCCATGGGGTGTAACGGGAGGCACGAGTAAAGGCTGGACAGTAACAGCGACACAAAAGCGCTCCAGAATGTAGAAGCATTTCTATTTTTCTTTAAAATCCTTCTCTGCTTTGTTTCCTCAGAACTTGACTAAACTACGTTTTAAACATGTGTAGAGCCTTACTTGGAGAAATCAACCCATGTATCCTTTCTTAACAAATTTCCTGCTCTCTGCACCAATAATATGGACATTGTTTTCACATATCAAGCCAAAAAAGAAATCAGTTTAAAGCCTGTTATTCAAATTAGACCAGCTGTGAAGTTCTCTAAGTGGAGAGAATTTTTATGGCCATCCATTCTTAGAGTTGACAGTTGTTTGAGAAATATGTGTTAATTTTACCAATTGAAAACTTTATTTATTAAGAAATTCCACACACTAAGGCATATATACTTATTTATTTATATATGGGCTAGCTTTGTGGAAAAGGAATGACACGGATCTTTGGGAGAAGATATAAGAAAAAAACTTCCAGGTCAAGATGCCCCTTCAAAAAATGAAGTAGAATTTTTTATCATTGAGATTAAGGAGGGCTAAAATCTTTCTGGGCCATGAGTTTACAACCTGCTGGTAACTGGAAGACACAGCATATTTCTGAGGTTAAGCAAAGGTGCGTATGGTTCAAGAAGATGAATAGTTGTGAAGCACAGGGATGGGAGCTTCACCAGTTAGGAGCAGGCTAAGAGAATCCACTTCTCAGCTTTGCCCATTTCTTCTGAAATTTCATACAGTGAAGTTATCTTCCATTACTGGTACAGCATTGATTGATCTCATGGGAGTTCATTTTGGGACTTACACGAGCTGGGAAGGTGTTACAAAAATTCTAAGATCCTAAAGAAAAAGGGAATAAAAATGAGATATTTTAAATTAGTTTTTTCTCTTTCTCTAAGAACCTGCTTTTTTATATTTCCTTTTTCTCTGCTTCCCTCTCATCATTCTCTTCCATGGTCAAGTGCGTTACCACCCAAACCCACAGTGACACCTGCTGGCTACTCATAAATGACCAGGCAGTCCCAGCAATGGGAGCCATAGTAAGCAAATGAGCACAATGAAACAAATATGGAATACTATAAAATTCTTTTAGAAACTTAGACTATGAGAAAAATGGAGCAAGCAACTTGTGAGGGGGCACCTTTGCAGGGAAGCCTTCTGGAATCATTACTAATATGAAATGTAAACACTATACTTATTATTATCTCATAAATGTGGGCCAAAAGTACATTCTGTACTATGAACCAATTATTAAGACTCAAGAAAATAATTATACAAATTACTCATGGAAAAGTCACCTTTTGCAATGGTTTTCATCACACAGACTTGTGGCCCCCAAAGAATGCATGTAGATTTAACTTAATAAAGTCCCCAAAAGAAATATAAGAAAATGTTACATGAACATTTGTTTCCTTTAAAAGTATTGATTAGACCTCCAACATAAAGGCTTAAAAATTTAGGTTTATGACATTCTTTCTATCATGACCCAAAGGACTTAAAATTCTTGGTTAAATTTCTTAACTGAGGTATATTCATATTTTGTTAATCTTAGGTATTTATACATTGATTATTTTGGCTGAGTACATTTTGGGGGATGTTTGCTTTATTTCAAGCAAATCTGTCTCTGACTTCAAAGTACAAATTCTAGTAAAAACAAAGACAACAGGAATATTTTTTAACATTGGTACATTTTCTTAAAATATTTACACTTTTCATTCAAAGATTGAATCCAAGGAAAAGCTCTCCATACACATGTTCACATTTGAAACAAGAGGTTCCCTCCAAGGACTTGTAGCCTCAAATGTGTATTGGACAAAAATGTTGGCCTTCTTCATCCTTACTCTGTGTTCTAAAAGCCAAAACTTCATTTCAGCATGACCTTAGAAGAATAGTGATACTTTTAGCATTTCCTGGTATTTGGGGGAAGGAATGTTTTTATTTGACTGCAGATGTCACTTGGTTTACAGGAAGGATTTGGTAACGCATTCATGCCAGTACTGCACTTACCCCAGATTTCTTGCTATGTAGGAAGAACACATGTCAAAGCTCACTGTTTGTTAAATGGAAAAGAGTCAGTACACCAGAAGCTTCCATTATAAACATTGTGACTTGGTGCAATTTACAAAATGTTCTATCTCCATTAAACAATAAACCCTTGACCCCAGAGCTCAGTTTGGGGATTCTGTGATTTGAGAAGGTAGACATAATGGATGGCAATAATAAATGAAAAGTTCAAGAGGTTAAGAAAAACTGTTTAATTATTTCTCTAGAGCGTGGGCTGCAGAAGCCTCGCATGTCTGTTTCCTTTCTTCTGGATGGAAGGGAGCCCTCAGTACAGCCCTAGCAGGGCAGGAAAGCAGGTTGCTGGCCCTCAGCTGTGTTTGTGAACAAATGGTCTCTAGATACCCTTCCATCTCTGATCCAGTGCCAGTCCCAGAGCTCAGCATCTGTTTTCCGAAGAGCCTGGATTTGTTAGCATGAGAAATTCATTGCTCATAGCTGCTTCCCAGCTGTGGCACTAGCGAGCATAGCCTTTTTGCCTTATTTATTTGTTGAAAACTATGTCCTATCCTCTCTTGGAAGTTCTCTTATATAACTAGTGCTGGACACAGGCCCCAGAGCTTTGAGCCCCAGCCCATCAAGCTGCCTCCTTAGCTAAGAGCTCCTCTTGAAAAGCTGCCTTGCTTGAACTTTCCAAAGTCAGGTGCATACACGAGGGCAGGACGTGGCAGTGCCCATGGCACCATGTGGTACAAAACAGATGTCCAAGAAACAGGCCAAGTCCACAGACCTGGGCACCCGGTGAAGGAGTTATCTGGGGAGAGCTCTTAATGGAGCTTTGGAGGTCAGGTGAGAAGCCTGCCGAGGGGAGAATTACTGGGCAGATCTGCCAGGAATTCCTCACAGAATGCACAGCGTGATCAGAACAGGGACCAGCAAAGAATGCTCTGTAGGTCTAGATCCAAGGTTTAAAGCTAGCAGTCAGGCACTCTCATCATTGCCAAATTAATGTGAATTCTTTAGCACTTCCTATCCATCAACTCATCCCAAAACATTTACGGTAAATTGCTATCTGTCCTACTCCATCTGCACTTGCAGAAACCAGAGCAGGGGCAGCTGTTCTGATGAACCTTGGC